CATTCATTCTTCCCAACTAACAAAAACTCTCTACAAACTTCGGATGCATTTGCGATACCTTCCAAGGCTTTACTTTACATTTACCTAGAAAGGTGCTAGTGGAATCACAACCTGTAAAAATTGAAAATGTGGAAAAGAATTGAAATCGATTAAATCATTTTAACATGGCAGTTTTACATTTTAGGGAAATTATCATGTATATTAGAGAAAGCATAAAACCCTGGAAAACACGAGCTTAACTCTTGACCAAGTAAAGTCGATACGGTGGAAATATCGATTAGGCCTGTCCCAAGCATCACGAGAAAATCTTTATTGACGATCTTTTGCATTGCAACACAAAGTACAAACACATCTGTGTCTGGTCTGTTGATGATAATCTGTTGATGAGTGGCGGCGACATCCTTGAAGTGAAGAAGTAATCGCGTATCTGCTTCCTCGTGGTCACACTCCAGTTGAGGTACTTCTTGTGCAAGAACGCTATTTTCATAAAAGATACCAGATATAAATAACAAGCATTTCTCTTTTGTGGTGACGTACATGCAGTGCAGGTGTTTTAGATACGAGGAAGGGTAATTTCTCCAGTAATCACAGAGAAATGCTATCAATAACTCTTTGTTCTCTCCAGAGTTTAAGTATTTTTTCCAATGTTTTGGAATATTCTGGTGTTTGCTTAAAATGAGTACTCTTTGAACGCCTTGAGCAGCCCTTTTGGACCTCTCTGAATTCTTGATACTTATTGCTGGATTTCAGCAACAAAGTCTAGTCAAAGTGACAACAAGTGTATTCGGATTCAGCATTTAAAAATCTAGAGAAACACGTGAAAACAATTTGGTGCTCGAGTGGGGGCAACAAAAATCGTTTTCTAAGCCACTTTTTAATGAAAAGAATACGGACTACGTATAGCATCAGAAAATGTTGATGTAGACAGTGCCGTATCAAACAGATAACTGTATTGAACGTCTTGAATTTCAATAAGAGAGGCATAGGCAGATTGAGAAAAAAGCACCTCAAAAAAGTTCAACGTACATACTTTAATATACAAACAAACCATACAAAAGATATGTCGAACTTCAACATGAAAACTATTGTCGTTTAGATCTCACCTTTAGCATTATTTTTGTGGTCCCTAATTTCACATGTAATTATTAAGTTCACAAACTTTTAATTTTTCCACTGTACACTGAACAGTGAATAAAATAAAACAATCTTAAAGCAGAAATGTCGGTAAAAATACAACTGATTACTTTGGAACCTCTTAAATTCACAACATGAAGTATCAACATGAAGTTCTCAAAAAAATAAAGAGTATTTGAAACATTGTGGGAACTCATTATGCAACATGACGTCACAAGTTGTATAAATTACAAATAACAAATACATCAAAATCAAGAGAATAAAAAGAGATATGAATTAACTGTTTTAGAAAGTAAACTGTCATCTCAAAAGTTGTAGTCACTTCAAACATAATTCAAGTTGCAAAACTTTCGCTTCATAGGCAGTTTAAAGACAATGATTTTGTGCGATATGCACCATTATAATGCATTATTTCAAATTTTTACTTATTTTGTTAATCTGAATAAGCCACAGAAATTTTGATTGTTTCAATGTATTAGATTTTATTTGACACTCTAGTGCTCAACTATCTGTTGTTATCAGGAGACATGGATCTAAAAAGGTACTTTTTGTTATCAAAATTGTCTTTTTTCTTTACAAGAATTATTCTTATAACAGAAACTACAACATTCAAGAATACTGCAAAGGTCCAAACATCTTCTGCCTTTTAGACTTATAATTTAAACCAACTCTAAGCATGTTTATACGTTTTTTACTTGTTACCTTTCACAATTTAACTTCCTCATAACACTCTCGTGATGAGCCAGAGCCTCCTTATATAATATAACTCTCTCATTATAAACAAAAGCATCCATTGGCATGGAAAATATTTACTTTTAATATTTTCTACAAAGATAACATTTAATAAGCCACGCAATTTGTATCGTCTAAATTGTACTTCGCTTTGAGCCATTATGTTATTTCAGGACCTTGTTGGTTTTATAATGTAAGCAATAATGGTGATGGGAGTAAAGGTTTGCTTGGTGTTAGTAGTTTTATAAACTTAGCCTTTCTCTAAATGAAGTATGCATTGTAATAATTAATAATTCAATGAGTCAAAATTAAGCCAACATAAAAGATTTTTTTCTACTGTGTGCGTATTATAAGTCATTTTCAATTTTGCATTACTTTAATTGACAAAAATCCAAGGACACATGTGATAATTCTTGGTGAACTAGGACTCTTATGGGGTGATTTGGTTGAAATGAAGTTAAAAGAAGATGAAATGAAAATGGATTTGTCTGATAGAGATCATTACAATATTGATAAAATGATCAACTGAAATAAACAGGAATAAATTATAAATTGCAGTATCCCTTGCATCAATTCCAAAATTGTCTCAATCTAATTTAGCATATATGTCCGTTTTAGAAATATCTATGTGCATTAGGAAAGACTCGGCAATCCGACTCCGATTCCGGATTTTCTACCATACCTATATAATACCTCTTCACAGGACATTGAACGTCAAGAATTTGCAAAACCTGCCAATAACCTAACTGAGCTGTTTTTAAAATGGTGGGTTGCAAGATTTTAGTCATGTCATTGAGACTTTCAAGGACCATGTGAGAATCGGTGTGTATTTATAACTGAACATAAACTGCAGATACAAAACAGATTGATGTCCTAAAATGTAGTTCTAGCAATGACCTTTTCATGAAGAAAGTAAAACCTTTTAATTGAAATTTTCATATCATGATCAATCAGAATTAACTGAAATAGAAAATGTGCTCATGACCACTTCAAAAACTAAGTGAGATATAAAAATACTATTTGTACACATGATGCTGCAATTAAATTTTTAAGTTTTCTTATTTTCATCATGCCTTCCTGTTTGGGCAGCGTAATTTAACTGCAAAACAAAAACAGCATCGTATACCAAACACATTTCCTGAAAAGACTAAAACAATAAATCTGTTGTTTATGACCAAATTTTTTTGGCTGTTTTCTATTGAACTTAAAGTCATTAAAACCTAAACTATCTTAGCCAAGCAACTTATGTTTACGGACGTTTAGCTATTTTTTTGAGAACATATTTCCATGGAATTATCCAGGGGCGGATCTAGGATTTTTCAAACATCAGTCACAAAACGTCGGAGGCGCTCCGCACCTGGGGGGTCTGAGGCATTCTCTCCTGAGAAATTTTGAATTTCAGAGTCTTGAAAATGCCATTTTTCAGCGTTTTAGAGCAATACAAAATGTATTTTGTGGGCATCGTTTTTGGGTAAAAACAACACATTTTGCTTACCTTTTTTTTTCAAAAAAAAATGAAGTAAACAATACTTGAATGTTTTGCCGAATATTTAGGCTCATTATCATGCCAAATATATGGCTCATTAGCATGTCTAGGAACGTAAAATTTATTTTACAATAATGCTATTCAAAAACAGATATAGAAAATTTCTACCAAGTTGTCAGGCATAGACTCCCTAGAGACCCCCATTCAAACCTTTATGCGTTGAGTTAAGTTAGAAATTTTTGTACTACAAGTGACAGTTCATAGATATAGAAAAGCCCAAACTTCAAACATGCAAGTTTATTGTAACCCTTTACCCATCTCTACATCAGTGCCAGGAAATTCACCTTTTGAGAAAAGACTCAAATTTCTTTTCAGCCAAAGATTAAGGAAAAATTATCAGAGTGAAAATTTGCAGTTGAGGACAGCTTAATGCCATAAATGTTTATTAGGCATTTCACTAGAGTATTAACCTCCGTAAGTATATGCAAGGTATGCTATATAGCAATCACTAGTAGCATTGTATTTGCAAATACAAACAGAATGTAACCAGCATGTCTTTAATTATATAATTACATGAATGTTAAAATTGGTTCATTTGTCATGCTTACTGTTTATGATAAATATCTTTTCATATGATCAAAGCTTGTTTAAATATAATTATGAAATAATTTAGTTTAGATATTATAATGATCATCAGAAAAATTACCTAGTGATCATGAAAAATACTTTGCTGTTTTGCCAAATTTCAAGGTTTATCTGCATACATAGAAAGACATTTTTACTTTATAGAACAAGCTTTTCATACATCAATAGCCATTTGGAATTTATGGCAAACAATCTGGTATGAGCCGTAGATTAACACCTTTACATCTCTACATGAGGTGTTCAGTTAGAAAAGGGGACAATATGTGACAAGGGACAACATTTCATGTATGTGAAATACACAGGTTTAATACCATTTCAGTCAAATTGTCAAAATAAAAAGCTTCATGGATCAGAAGACTCACAATCACAGGTTATAGTAAACAGTTTCTCATGTAATCAATGTTAGTTTTCTCAAATCTTAAACAATACCTAGTATAACTGTCCAATGGTTGAATGATCAATGATCATAAAATGAAAAGTCCCAAACGTTTGTTTATGATAAAGTAAATAATAGTATGGCGCCTTATGGCTACAGATTTTTTGTTCATTGTAATATATTTGCAGGAATGTAGGATTTCGCTGCCATATAACGGCCACGATTCCCCAAGCACAAAAGAAATCATAGCTAAAAGTCCGTCGGCAACAACACTTTTAGAAGGGGGTTTGCTATAACTCGGGCGATTTTTGGGGACGCGCCTATCAGCTTCCTGGTCAGCGGCAAAAACATTTACATAATAATCGCTATAAGTACAATATGTTTCTTGTATAAAATTCCATAACACAAATCAACAGAAAGTATACAGCACAGCGCCCACATTGTATTATACGTTCATTTGGCTTCTACAAAATATGCGGTCTATTTTTATAACGAATGTTACTGCAAACGCGCATTGTGAAGTACATTGCTCTTTGTTATTGAGCTTGCTTGTAATATGTTCTAAAAGATATCGATGATGCTCAAAAGTATTCTAATTGGTAACAAAATATACAGCACAAAGTATACAGCACAGCGCCCACATTGTATTATATGTTCATTTGGATTTTACATAATATGCGGTCTTTTTTATAACGAATGTTACTGCAAACGCGCTTTGTGAAGCACATTATTCTTTGTTATTGAGCTTGCTTGTAATATGTTCTAAAAGATATTGATGATGCTCAAAAGTATTCTAATCGATAAGTCTTTTTTATTCGGCACTTTTAAATCTTACAATTTATGTTTTGTATTATTATACAATTGTCATGTCTGATTATGGGCAAGCAAAGTACTCTGTCAGAGTTTGTCCAAAGTCAACATTCAGACAACTTTCATGAAAGTACTGCCCACCTGAATCACATCCCAACCAGTCTTCACCATCATCTATCTTGCAAATCTTGCATACCAAACTATTTCTCCTAATAAAATAAATTTTACACATTTTACTTATGGTATAGTAATCAAGCACACGATTGGCATCTCTGACGCAAAACCTGTCATCATTTTTATAACAAATGTTGCTTCAAACGCGCATTGTGACGTTAAATTTACGTATGAGATTAAATCTAGAAGCTACTACTTAGATCATAGGAAATAACCCATCCTCAATGCCTATACTCATTATGCTGAATATTCGCGCACTTTTCATTCTTACGTATATGTGCTTGCGTTTTTCAAGTGCTTTATCGGTCTCGCCTTAACTGCACCTAGATAGCCTATCCTTAATTAATATGTTCAATATTTGCGCACTTTTCATTCTTACGTATAGGTACTTGCGTTTTTCAAGTGCTTTATAGGTCTCGCCTTAACTCCACCTAGTTAAGAAAAAATATAAAAACCTCGCATTAAATGTGAAAATAATAGTGGGCACATTACTGGATCGTGGAATGAAATTCGTATAAAGACGTATAAGCGTTCGAGTGCTTGCTCTGACTCATTATTAAACATTTCAACAGAATAAAATATATTAAGGAACAAATTTCGTGTTTCATACTCAGTATATGGCGCAGACAGTTCTTCAGCGTGAATCTGCAGAATGCTCAAATAAACAAGTAAACTTCCTTAGAGAAAAACTCGCAAGTGTGATGGAACGGTGGAGCAAATGGAAGAACTTCTTGAACAGTTTCAGGTCTGGTAGTTTATTTTCAATTGTTGCACCATACTGCAAACAACTTGTATTCCGAAAAACATCACCATGTAAACTCAAAATTTCAGTTATAATAGCAAGAAACGAAATGTAAAAGCAATATCTTGACTTTATTTCAAAGTCATTATAAAGCTAATATAGCTAAGTTTACAAGATCATGTTTTTTGAAGTATGTTTTATAATTTATTTCTTTAAATTGTCGGCTTGAAAAGGTTTTTGTAATTGTTGAACAGTTAACTTTCAAAGGCCGTTATGCGTAAACCTTGATAAATTGATTTCACGCGTTAATATACTTGAAAAGTGAAAGAGGTTTTTGAATTTAGGTAATTGATTCCATCTCGTTTGTGAAAGCTGACAACCACTCAAAAACATAGGGCAATAAACGTTTATCAGTTACAGGTAATCAACTCAACCGCATCACACATTTTACCCCAAACTAAAGCGAGAAAACACCAAGAAATTTTCAACCGACGCATGAAGTGGGCAGCCAAGCCTGCTACATTCCCCTTCTTTAATGTTGCATGACCAATTAACATTTTATAGTCGCAAAGACATTCCATTATAGAGTTAGAAGAATCGAATCTAACAGTCATTTCTATCTATATTAGCAAAAAACTCATTAGGAAAAACCGTTCAATGACTCGCCAATTATTTTGCTGTCTCCTTTAAATACATTTTATTATCTAACACATCTGCATAGCTTAGCATAATAAGAATGTTTTACTTGAAGACAAACAAAATGCTGGAAAAACATATCATTTTTTTCAGCACCGCCAGTGTTTGAAAGCAAGAAGGGAAATATTCCAATTGAGTTTTTTGCAAATCCGTTTTTGATTGTGGGCAACGAAACAAGACATTGTTTACTTGGGAGAGCGAAAGTATGTATTTATCGTTATGATATTTAAGACTTATTTGTGCACAATTTGTCTTGACACCACACTGTTTTATTTTAACAAACTTCTCAGGACAGCAGAGGCACTCGCAGACACGACGTAAAAAGTGACCATGATTATGAAGAAAAGGGACGGATTCGCTTACAGAACAGTAGAAAACTGGATTGCCCAGCACAAGTGCAAATAAGACAAGTCAGAATATTTCTCGACTACTACATCGATCGAGAACAATTTACATCAGAAAACAGCTTGGTTATAGCAAAACGGAGAGTATTTAGAGAGATTAAGGAAAAAATGGATAGCGATTCCTCCTCACAGCTTCGCGCCAGCAGTCGTTTTTACCTAAAAATACCTCTTAGTAGTGCTCATTCATGTCACGCCATTGGTGCCACGGCAACAGTTGGGCGGCGAATGGATTACCGACTGGTCACGAAAGTTTATAGTTTGGTAAAACGCAATGCAATCAAAATCTCAGAAGTCAAAAGGTGTCTTGATCAATACGTTGAAGAGACTTTATTTCCACAAGACGGATAAAAAGCTATACCGCGCAAGACAAATAAACGGTACTATCCAAATAAAAAGGATATTCGCAACCACTTAGTAAAGGCAATAGAGTCCCTTAAGGACTGCAAAGACGATCAAGAGTCCTTGCGCAGGAAGGTAGAAACCTGGAAACAGAATTCTCGAAGCAGAAGTTTTTCTACCGCACAAGAGATAACGCTTCCAGCAACGATATTCCTCCAAAGAAGGATAAAAAGTTTTTGTTTGTGCATCACGAGCATTGGCAACAACGAATGTTGATTCGTTATGGCGGACAATTGTGTCTCATGGACGCCACGTACAAAACAACAAGGTACGCATTACCGCTTTTCTTTGTGTGCGTTCATTCAAACGTTGGCTACAAAGTTGTGGCTGAATTTATGTGCCAGACGGAGACCGAAGAAGCCATAGAAGAGGCTTTGGCTATTATAAAAGGATGGAATCCAGTATGGAACCCAAAGTATTTTATGGTGGATTACTCATTAGCAGAAATAGGCGCGATAGAAAAAAGTTTTCCCAATGTACAGGTTTATGTTTGCGACTTTTACAGGTTGCAAGCGCTAAAACGCTGGGCTTCAGCAAGCAAGAATGGATTGTCATATGAGCAGCAACAACACTTCCTTTTGCAAATGAAGAAGATTGCTAATGTCAGTACCAAACAGGAGTACGACAAGGCAGTAAAAGATTTTCGAGAGTCCAAAGTGTCTAAAGAATGCAGCAAGATGAGAGAATATGTTGACCGTACGTGGTTTTCTTGCGCTGTCAGATGGGCACACGATTTTCGAAAACAGCAAGTCACCAACATTGTTAATACTAACAATGGCGTTGAGGCTCAAAACAGAGTCTTTAAATACGAATACTTACCCCAAAGTGTTGACAAATCTGTGTATGGTATTGCAGTGATGTTGGTTGTATCTTTCATTCCCGATGTTCTTCACTACTATTTGGATGCAAACCTGCGACAGAGCAGCGCCTAATGCAAGTACAACCCGTCAATCCCAAAATACTTGCCCAACAGACCTCTGCACTTTTTGAAATGTTGTCTTAAAAATCGATACGCTTCAGCCACTTACAAACAGGACGACATAGCTCCGGTTACTTTAAAGAAGGGCACGTTTAAAGGACACATGCAACATAAAATTCGGATTGTTATTTTTGTACTTTACATAAAGGTATAGCTCCAACTAATAGTTCACCAAAATTTGAGACTCAAAGGATAAATATTTTTGAAGATATGGAGCTTTAAAGTTGATGCTTTCCTGATAACGTATTAAAAATGCCCGACGAGCTAACGACGGCTACCGATGTCGTTGTGACGTAATAGTTGACATAAGCTAAACGCGGTCAATTGCGCGCTTCGTTCAAAATATACTTTGCCTGCATTAACAACACGACAATTTAGCATTGAAAATATGGTTTATTGTGCCGCATTTAATTATAAAAACGGTTCTTCTAAGAACCATCAAACGCAGCAAAAGGTTTCTTTTTTCGTTTCCCGAAAACAAGCGCATGCGAGATATTTGGATTGAAAAAATCCGACGCAAAAATTTGAAGCCAACAAAGAGCTCAAAATTGTGCTCGCAACATTTCGAGAGTTCGTGCTTCGTGCAAAATTTTGAAGCGATGCAATCAGTAGGATGGACAGCAGGACGGCTTCGCCTTAAGAAGGATGCTGTATCCACGATTTTTTAATACTCTGTGGAACCCACAAGTGTAGCCATCTAAAAGGAAGCAACCAACAAATGTTAGAACTGCATTTGAGAAGAGACGAAGGCAAGAGGTGATTATTATAGTTATATTTAGCAATATTTGTTTACATTTATAAAAACTAAGCTATAGAGCATTACCAAATTGAGGACAATTTTATAATTTTAGATTATTGACGACGTTCTTGCAGAACATGACGACTTTCTTGTAGGCGACGACCACGATGTGTCGACATCGGATCGAAATGTTTGTGCGTTTTACCTCAAATGAAGTTTGTCTAAGATAAAGATGTCAAAATATATGTAGACAGCGAAACAAAACATATACAGTGGTAACTAATTCAGACTAATGTCGTTTGATCTTTTCTTTATTATTTTAACTCATAGAAAATTCCTTAATGTACCTTAGAAGCGCAATGTGAAATGCCAAGCAGCCATAACAATCCGTCCGCAAAACACGTAAGGTCAAGAACCACTCAAACAAAGTGCCAAATATGATAAGTAGAGCTATAGACTTTCCATTTCGGCCGTTTTGATTTTTGTGAAAAATCCAGCAATACGATAATTTTATTTAAAGGTTGAGTTAATTTCAACAAAAAATCATAGCACACAGACGACGTCATGTGAAATTGAACATTTTGAGGACAGCGCTGTATGGTCTGATACAGAAAGCACGTCGACGATGAGCAATAGCTACAATGGATCAGACTCTCACTCGTTTTCTTCACTCTCAGGCATAGGTCCAATGTCATGTGTGTACACGACCATAGCTGTTTTTACGACAGCTTCGTTTCTACACACTGTGGCAAACTCTTCCTCTTGTGTGATACAAATATGATCGCCATGTATCAAAGGATCAATATTGTTTACCTCTTGGCAACATATACTTTCCCGTCCTGTACTCATGACCACACAAAAGCCACATTCGCACCTAAAAGATAAAAACATTGTTTTTACTTTGGGAAAAACAATGAAGCATCAATAAAATGCAACTAACCGTTCAACATTTCCAATTCTGTGAATGTATTTATCTTCGCTTTCCGATGACGGAGAATTGTCATTACTATGACCACCTTGTGCGTTGGCCAATAGCTCAAACACGTAAGGTTGTACCTCATTGTTATTGATGACAATATCATAATCGGCATCTTCAGAAGAATCCATTAATTTTTGATAAATAAAAAACAGTAAAAGCAAACTACCGAAATAGCAAACTACCGAAAGTCGTGCGAGTCGTAGAACGATATAAGAACGATGCTTGTTTATGTCAACTAATACGTCACTCCTTCCCAGTTCCCAGACTTAAACAATCTTACGGCGTTTTAGCAATGGTCATCGAATATCGTGTTTTTACCGATTATAACCCTAAATATCTTTTGAAATATTTTGCGGACGACTTTGAAACTTGGTACGTCTTATTTTCACGCTATAGGCATTACAATAAAATAAAGTTGTCTTCTAGCTTGCATGTGTCCTTTAATATCAAGAGCGAGAGCAATGTTGGAATGAAACATTTCATAGACTTCCGAGAACCAAGTTGTACCTGCAACATATGGCACACTACCCATTTCCCTTGCAAACATTTTTTCGCAGTTTTTTCTTTCTATGATTAGTGGGCATGGGAGAACAGATTAATCTGATAGAATAAACTAGGACTACATCGACCAAGACAATATTTGATTGTTACTTGTTACCAGTTAAGTAATTTAAATCAAGATTAAAATACAATGATATATTTTAATGGGAAGTTTGAAAATTACAACACCAAAAATAGTACTATTTTAAATTAGATCTTGTGCAAGAAATATTTGGTAGCTATTATTTGCGTGCAAGCTTCCAGTTTCCATAGATACAATGACACAAAATTTTAATCCTTTCTTTTCATAGTTTTAATGTTTTAGTATCTTAAGTTATTTTAAGTCGGTGATGCTTTAAAGAGTATTAAGTTTGCGTATATGGGCAAGTACGTTGTGAAAAATACATACAAAGTGTCCAAGTTATACCACTGGGAAATTACGCGATACATAAGTAGGAAAACTTAGCAATACTTTTCTCACAAAACATGCTGTTGCCCAATGGTCAACACAAGGTTTGCAATCATCACGACGAACAATTATTAAAGGAAACCAGTGAAAAAGTTTAACCCAGGCAATATCACAGTCTGCCATGTTAGTTCTATACCCCCACCCTCCCTCCTCAATGGCGGATAGCAAAGCTGTGACGTCACGTGCAAACACACTATTGCCAAAGAAACAATACGAATAGTACATTTACAGCTCAAAGAATAAAGACGTGACTGTATAATGCACATCAAGTACGAAATCATTAGTGGTTATTTTTCAAAACTAACAGTGTGCATCAAAAGCCACAATGTACACATGTTTTACATTTAAGCACATTCTCCTGTTTTGCAGTTAAGCTGCTGCATTTCTTCCTAGTTCTAACTTGTCTTATAACATTTCATGGAATAGTATGTGCAAGAGAAATGTTTTTTGTAGCAATAAAATAAGAAACTTTAACTTAAAATCAATTTCTTACTAGTATGCCGAAGGCAGATATCTTTAGCCAAATCTGTATCATTACATCACACACGAGTCATTATCCTTAGATGAAAAAAATTTCATGTCAGTAAGAAATGTGCTTACATTTGTTTCTCAAACAGGGTTTATTTTATATCTCTATTTTAGACAAAACCGCAAAGTAATAATTTTTAATGCAATTTTTTATTAAATGTAAAAACAAAACAATTACATTTAAAAATTAGTTTGAAGAGTCAATTTAATTTTCCATCTTCTTTAATAGTCATGTAAAGGACCCCTGGCTGCCAAGCCTATCCCTAAAAAAGTAAAATCATGAGCTCATTGGTTGATATCACACATAGAAATTGTCTTATTCTTTATTAGATAGTTTTCCTTATTTTGTATATTCTCTACTTAAACGATTATTGTTAAACTGAAGCAAGATCACATAAAAAATATTAATTTATATTTCAACAATCCAGATACTTACCAGTCCACATTTTACAGCATCTGAAGTAGTCTATGTTGTGAAGCCAGTCCCCATTATGATTTTTGTACAACCCAGTGACGTAATATCCAACTTTTTTACATGTTGTCCATCCTTTCCTGTCAAATGCATATCTGATATGTTCATTGTAACAGTGAGCATACTTGTTTGGATGATTGACAGGCTTGCAACATTTTCCCATCTCAATATTGTGTAATCTTTGGCCTTTGGAGCGATAGAGACCATTTAGGAAATATCCTTGAGGGCAAACACTCCAAGTACTGGCCCTGAGAAATAATTGTTTTTGTTACTCATAATGTGTACAATTTGGAAAAAAAATTAAGCACCACAAGATAAGATTGCAAGAAACAATAAGCATTGTTTTGTTCATGGCAAAACTAAGTAAATTTTTGGTTAAAAAACCTTTCACATGAGATTCTTTTCATGTTATCCTATTACCTTTTCTTTAAAAATTAAAGAACATATGGCTGCATTGCAGCGTTCTAAATTAGTAATGCCAACTGTAAGAACTTGCGACTTTTTTAGCATTTCATAAATAAACCAAAGAGAAATAACTTACCTGTCAAGTGATTTCCACCAGTTAGCATTTATGCATGTACTTCGTTGCCCTGCGTAGAGTGAACTGGAAGTGCAGCATTTCGCTTCTTCAAGCTTATAAATTCCATCATTATTGAATTTTTTTAACTTGTTTCGGTAAAATCCAGTAATAAATTGTTTCGCATTGTCACATCTTGACCATCCTTTTTTATCAAATGATTTCCACCAGTTGTCATTAACGCAACGTCTCGGTATAAACGTATCTATAGATGTAATGGTAAGAGTAACAATATTAATTTGACATAATCCAATCACATCATTCACTGCCATGGTTAAATCTTGCTGTGTAAACACAATGAGCTGTTGCAAGTTTAATCAATTTTAGGAGAGTTATTGTATGCTCATCTTTCTGGGCTTCTATTTTTTCACATCTAGACTGTTCCAATAAAAATGGCAAGAGTTCAAAAAATTATGCATTTACATCACATTTCTAGAGATCAAAAAATTCATTCACATCTAGCTTTCTAAAGTACAAAAGAGTTTTAAAAAGAGCAATTTAACTAATTATTGAGATAATGGTAACACACAAGCAACGTGATCTTATATGCAATTTAATAGGCAAACGTTAATTGCAGCAAATGAGAAGTTCTGCTGAATCTTCTAAACACTACTTTAAGAGATTTATCAAACTTTCTGTATTATCAAAATTTCTGTACCACAGCGCTATTTATCAATTGCATATTATTATAGTTTTACTAAAATTTGTGATGCTAACGTTTTTCTTTTGCTGTTGCTCATGTCATAAAGTTAGAAACTAAAAAAATCTACTCAATAAGTTGTTTTAATTTGTCTTATGTTTGTAAGTATACCCAATTTCTAGAGTTTAAAAAATATTCGAGCTTACATTGACACTTGTTTGCAAAGTAACCAAATTTACATTTGCAATTGTACGACTTTCCTCTCCTTTGACATACACCTCCGTTGATACAAGGCTTTGTGTGACAAGCATTGTAGACTAAATGTTAAACAAGTGACAGTTCATTAATAGTATTTTAAAAAACATTGATTGCTCAAATGGTTTTGCTCAACATTTTCAAAAAAAGGAACCGAATATGTAAGATCTCATTATCTATAATTAGTATTCGTAAGAGAACTCGAGTTGTTATAAAATGTCATTAACAAAATGTTTTATCATTAAAGTCACTGCAATTGAATACACTAACTCATGCTTACATTGACAGTTCTTTCCAAAGTAACCAGGTCTACATTTGCAATTGTACAACTTTCCTTTCCTTTGACATACACCACCGTTAATACAAGGCTTTGTGTGACAAGCATTGTAGACTAAAAATTAAACAAGTGACAGTTTATTAATAGTATTTTAAAAAACATTGATTGCTCAAATGGTTTTGCTCAACATTTTCAAAAAAAGGAACCGAATATGTAAGATCTCATTATCTATAATTAGTATTCGTAAGAGAACTCGAGTTGTTATAAAATGTCATTAACAAAATGTTTTATCATTAAAGTCACTGCAATTGAATACACTAACTCATGCTTACATTGACAGTTCTTTCCAAAGTAACCAGGTCTACATTTGCAATTGTACAACTTTCCTTTCCTTTGACATACACCACCGTTAATACAAGGCTTTGTGTGACAAGCATTGTAGACTAAAAATTAAACAAGTGACAGTTTATTAATAGTATTTTAAAAAACATTGATTGCTCAAATGGTTTTGCTCAACATTTTCAAAAAAAGGAACCCAATATGTAAGATCTCATTATCTATAATTAGTATTCGTAAGAGAACTCGAGTTGTTATAAAATGTCATTAAAAAAATGTTTTATCATTAAAGTCACTGCAATTGAATACACTAACTCATGCTTACATTGACAGTTCTTTCCAAAGTAACCAGGTCTACATTTGCAATTGTACAACTTTCCCTTCCTTTGACATACACCACCGTTAATACAAGGTTTCGTGTGACAAGCATTGTAGGCTAAAATTAAAACAAGTGATAGTTTATTAATTGTATTTTAAAAAACTTTTATAATGGTTTGCTAGATGGTTTGTTAAATATCATGAAATGAACGAGCCAAATATGCAAAATCTTATTACATATAGTTAGTAAGCGCAAGAACTACAGTTGTTGTATAATCTTATTGAAACTGTTTTATCATTAAGATTAGTAGAATTGAATACACTAACTCATGCTTACATTGACAGTTCTTTCCAAAGTAACCACGTTTACATTTGCAATTGTACAACTTTCCTTTCCTTTGACATACACCACCGTTAATACAAGGCTTTGTGTGACAAGCATTGTAGACTAAAAGTTAAACAAGTTACAGTTTATTAATAGTATTTTAAAAAAAATTATTGATTGCCCAAATGGTTTTGCTCAACATTTTCAAAAAAAGGAACCCAATATGTAAGATCTCATTATCTATAATTAGTATTCGTAAGAGAACTCGAGTTGTTATAAAATGTCATTAAGAAAATGTTTTATCATTAAAGTCACTGCAATTGAATACACTAACTCATGCTTACATTGACAGTTCTTTCCAAAGTAACCAGGTCTACATTTGCAATTGTACAACTTTCCTTTCCTTTGACATACACCACCGTTAATACAAGGCTTTGTGTGACAAGCATTGTAGACTAAATGTTAAACAAGTGACAGTTTATTAATAGTATTTTAAAAAACATTGATTGCTCAAATGGTTTTGCTCAACATTTTCAAAAAAAGGAACCCAATATGTAAGATCTCATTATCTATAATTAGTATTCGTAAGAGAACTTGAGTTGTTATAAAATGTCATTAAAAAAATGTTTTATCATTAAAGTCACTGCAATTGAATACACTAACTCATGCTTACATTGACAGTTCTTTCCAAAGTAACCAGGTCTACATTTGCAATTGTACAACTTTCCCTTCCTTTGACATACACCACCGTTAATACAAGGTTTCGTGTGACAAGCATTGTAGGCTAAAAGTAAAACAAGTGATAGTTTATTAATTGTATTTTAAAAAACTTTTATAATGGTTTGCTAGATGGTTTGTTAAATATCATGAAATGAACGAGCCCAATATGCAAAATGTTATTACATATAGTTAGTAAGCGCAAGAAGTACAGTTGTTATATAATCTTATTGAAACTGTTTTATCATTAAGATTAGTAGAGTTGAATACACTAACTCATGCTTACATTGACAGTTCTTTCCAAAGTAACCAGGTCTACATTTGCAATTGTACAACTTTCCCTTCCTTTGACATACACCACCGTTAATACAAGGTTTCGTGTGACAAGCATTGTAGGCTAAAATTAAAACAAGTGATAGTTTATTAATTGTATTTTAAAAAACTTTTATAATGGTTTGCTAGATGGTTTGTTAAATATCATGAAATGAACGAGCCCAATATACAAAATCTTATTACATATAGTTAGTAAGCGCAAGAACTACAGTTGTTATATAATCTTATTGAAACTGTTTTATCATTAAGATTAGTAGAGTTGAATACACTAACTCATGCTTACATTGACAGTTCTTTCCAAAGTAACCACGTTTACATTTGCAATTGTACAACTTCCCTTTTCTTTGACATACACCACCGTTAATACAAGGCTTTGTGTGACAAGCATTGTAGACTAAAAGTTAAACAAGTTACAGTTTATTAATAGTATTTTAAAAAACATTATTGATTGCTCAAATGGTTTTGCTCAACATTTTCAAAAAAAGGAACCCAATACGTAAGATCTCATTATCTATAATTAGTATTCGTAAAAGAACTGTAGAGTTGTTATAAATTGTCATTAAAAAAATGTTTTATCATTAAAGTCACTGCAATTGAATACACTAACTCATGCTTACATTGACAGTTCTTTCCAAAGTAACCAGGTTTACATTTGCAGCTGTACAACTTTCCCTTCCTTTTGCATACACCACCGTTAATACAAGGTTTTGTATGACAAGCATTGTAGACTAAAAGTAAAAACAATGTTCGAGTTAATTGAATTTGGAAAGCGTTTAATTGTTGTCCATAAAGTTTAGTAATGATTTTATAAGATTGTTTCTTATCTTTTGCAACAATAAATTCAACTATAAGGCCTCGGAAAAAAGTTGTGTTTTGGGGTAAAATTTTCGTTTTTCGAGTAAATTTTTCGGGCAAATAGTCTTAGGTCCCCTATAATCGAGACTAATCCCACGTGCAAATGTTCTTAAGAATTTATTTAAGCTTTCATTTATAAGCCACTTCCTGCTTGTCTCTAGTGATTTAGGGAGATATTGCGACATGAAAGGAAAATCTAAACGCATTATAAAATTCAAACTTAATTTACGGTAGCTAGAGCAGAAATATTTTAACAAGTTAAGCTTGTAAGTTATAGTTTCTCATCAATAATTTTATTAAAGTTTGATTGCACAAGTAATTACAAACAAGGGACGAGAAAATATCATTTACAAATCATACTTACTTCCACAGTTTTTTCCTCGGTAGCCAGGTTTACATAAACACTGGTAAGATTTGATTTTCTTTAAACAAAGACCACCATTCTTGCAAGGTTTCTTAGCACATGGGTTGAAAACTAAATAAAAAGAAATAAATCATAAAACTTGCAAATGCTTTTGAACATATTCTATCTGTTTCTATATGATACTCAATTCCAGAAAACTCAATGTTGTTCTCTATTTTGGAATAGCTCTCTTTAATGTATTCATGTATTGAAATTTTCAAAGTAATAAATTTAATTTTTTACCTGGGGCCATTTTGCAGCATTTGAAGTAGTCAATGTTGTGAAGCCAGTCACTTTTATGATCTCTGTACAACCCAGTGACGTAGTAACCTGCCTTTTTACACGTTGTCCATCCTTTCCTGTCAAACGCATGTCTGATATATTCATTGTAGCAACCACCATACCTTTTGGGATGGCGTATTGGTTTGCAACAGTTTCCTTCCTCAATATTGTGTAAATGATTTCCCTTTGTGCGATAAAGACCATTTAGAAAATATCCTTGAGGGCAAACACTCCAAGTGCTTTTTCTAAAAAAAATTTTAATGTTTAGTTAAAACTAACTGCAAAGGTTACTGACATTTATGATTAAAGGACAATGGCAATGAATTTTTTGTTCCATACGTTTATCATAGATAGCTATGGAATACTTAATTTGAATTTTGCTGTTGAGAAAATTTGACATAAAGTTGAATCCTTATCCGCCATTTTGGAAAAAAGCCTTATGCTAAATCATGCAGAATCATACTTGACGTCATTGGCTGGTATCAACTGAATGACACAATATAAAATAATAGTATTATCATATATAGCACATTTGTTCACTGGAATTTTAAAACAAAAACAACAGTCGGCAGTTGTTAAGATTAACAAAAGTTGTGTAGTATATCATGCTTATATACTTTCCAATATTTAGTCGTTATAAGACGTAGAAACGTTTATTTTAGCAGATCTTACAACTAGGCTTTCGCGACATACCAAGTGTAAGCCCAGACAACAATAAGCGTGTTTTGTACACTGAACATTTCGTGTAATAGAAATATTTATTTTCCCATATTACAAACCTGTGACCAACAGAGTTATACGTTTAATTTATTTTTTATATACCTAAGAGCCTTTGCGAGATTATGTAGTTTTATATAGGTGATAAGCTATAAGCCGCTATATTTTGTTCATGACTGTAGAGTTGCGTTTATTCGTAATGTTTTACGTGCATGTTTGCGTGCACAATGTACAAGTACACTTTTCAATTAACTTTATAACTTATGAATGAATACAAGTTTTTGGTGAATCACTCATGCATTTTGCTTTTGCGCAGTTCGTGACAATCCTTCGACAATGATATGGCATCGCAATTGCAGATCATAACAAAGAACATCAAAGAGCGTCTGTCTAAGACTTTAAATTTACGGTCTTTCGTGATAACATTCGTATTTAAAATGTGTATGAAGTCCGTCTGGTGACGTGAAGCGTTTTCGTATGCTAGCATAAACACAAGCAGGAAATGGTCTTCGATGTTTATTCCCTAAAATTTGAAAATCCACCTAGAACATCTTTGATAGGCAACTAATCGAGACAGCTTGTGTATCCTCTCTAGATCCTCAACAGACAGGGGCCAGTTTATTTCAAGATACCGACACACGTCTATCTTTAACACACTTTCTGACAGCATATTGTCCCTAAATTCTTGGTGTGTTGTCAAGCAATACTCTCCTTGAGTTTCTGTTTGGCCTAGCAAAGCCTCATACTCATCGTATTCAAGCGCTTTTTCGAGGCAACAAAAACACTCGATTGCCTTTTTCGACAAAGTACAATGTCCACAGTTATAGTTTGAAGGCGCCAAGCATTTGCTCTCTCAACTTCAGCATCTATTTCATCCTCCGACGAGGAGAAGTCGCCCGCTCACTCTCCTGTTTGGAACCGCTTTCTTCACTTGTTTCGGCCTTCATTTCAGGTTCATATCGATAGGGCAGAACCTAACCCGGTTGATTTACGTGTATGTCATCCATTACAGCAAAAAAAAACCGTAAAATATGCTTTAAATGTGTTGTAACGCCGTCAATCACAAAGTATTGTTGTTTTGACTGCTTACCAGCCAAGACATCACTACCGCTCGAGATAATTTTATCAAAATTTTATACCAAGATGGCGCAATTTATAAAACTTCTGCTGCAAATATCTCAGCAACAAAATATTTTTGAAAAAAAATTTTGCTATTTTAGTTGTTAGACATCACAAATGTTCAAAATTATGCCATAAAAATTTTCGTTGACAATGTCCTTTAACACACATTGTGTGTACAAGACGCAGACGTTTTTCTTACGTTTGATGAAATAACGACACACAAGACATTTATTATTCTATTATGTATTTAAGTAAGCAAATGTTACTGTTTTAGTTAACAAAAATATAAACTATCCAAAACTAAATATAATTTCCCTTAGACAAGTTCAAGTATTTGCACTTCAAGAATTTTCAAATAACGCTGCGATTGACAGGGTATCTATACCATTAAAATTTCAAGACTTTAATCGAATGTAACCACCTTGCAAAATTTTCTTATCTTTATCGACGTAATATAAAAAAATTAATTTTAAAATAATTTCTCCCGATATGTTGCGAAGGGGCTACTTTTGGCACTTCCTATGCAAACGTGGCCAGCAATGTTTGATGCTTGGTAAATTTATGTTATGACGAATACGCATTTAGAGCATAGAAATGAAAATAATTGATGACTTGGCGACTTCCGTTCACGAGAAAACATAAAATGATCAAACATGACCCTCAAAATGTTCGGACATATAACTCAATTTAAGGTATAAAATAAGCACATAAAGTTTATTAAATCTAAATCATACTAACTTGTCTAATGTTTTCCACCAGTTAGCGTTGACACAAATGCTCTTTTGACCTCTGTATCCAGGACTAGACAAACAGCACTTTGCTTCTTCAAGTTTGTAAATTCCATCATGTAGGAAAGTATATAACTTGCTACGATAAAATCCAGTGATGAACTGTTTACTGGTGGAACATTTTGACCATCCTTTTTTGTCAAATGACTTCCACCAGTTGGCGTTAACACAGAACTTTGCTACAATTCCTGATTAGGATTAGATTAAGATAAGAATGAGTAATATATAGATTTTAATACGAACTTTTTTATTTTGTCTCATTGCGATTATCTCGCTCATGCCCCAAATATTAATCCTCTGTCGCATTCGTAAAAGTTGATACGAGCGACGATCATAGAATTTATTTTAGCTAATCTGACAAGTATTAACGCCTGATATACATATAATATATTATCAGAATAAATATCAATCAATCAATCAACAAAAAGTCATTTATCAACGTTTCATGTAAATATTTATGGCACTGGATTAAAATACTCACGATTCACTTTCAAAAGAAATCAATTCAATTCACTTTCAAAAGAAATCAGAAGGGTACAACGGAATATATGAATATGCACCATCCTACCCCAATTAACGTTTCACTTATGCCTCTGTCCAATGATAACTGTGTGCATCACATTGTTTCAAAAACGTTATATGAGTTAAAAAGTCATTTTACATTATCGTAAATGGCAGACTCAGCAAATACAAAAGTATAGAACAATGATCTTTGAGAAATGTAACTGTCTGAGCGACACCAAACAACTTAATAAGAATCTTAATTAAAAGAGCAACAACAACTCATTTTGAATCATTTGAATGCAAACACTGAAATTTTGGTTAATAATATAAATCCATTCTTATAAAAAGTTCTCTTATTTCCATCTCACTTTACCTTTCTTTGCCTTTGTGGCAATGACCTAAACAATAAAACGATATAGAATTTAGAAAATTTGTGACAATAAGTGCTTCATATCTACATAAATTTTATTAATCCGGGATAACACTTAATGATAATAAATGCGATCTGTTTTTTGACACATTTTTAAATTCTTAAGTCAAAAGGTATATCGCAAAACTAAACCTCCTCTAAGTAGTTGGAAGTACATCCCTCCATTTTTACATGAACGGACCTTAACGAAAAATCTATGCATTAAGACAATCAGAGTTATTCCGCAGCGACCATTAGCCATTAGGCAAGATGGCTAACTGCTGTCTGCAATAATAATATGATATACAAAAAAAGCATAACTAAATTATTCTGTGTTTATGGAACTATTTTATTTATTCAAAGCTTTAGTTGGGTAGCTCATGCCGTTAGCTTTTAGGACATTTGCTGTAACTTACACATACCATTAGGAGAACAAGGGTAGACAAAACAGTGAGACTTGACTTCATCGCGTACGCTTTATCCAACACTGCTTCTTCTAATCATCAACTGGGAACAAGATGCACAGCCTAAATTAAACTGATACAATGCGAAAGATGCTTTATAACATCCCCTGTTTGTTGAAATTTCTGTCACACCTCTAAAATTTACATTTTTAAAACTTGAATCAGCAGGATATCCCTACTTCAAATATTAAAGATCATTTGTAGCGTCTGAATAAACAAAACTCTTAGTCTGCAGTTATCTAGACGAGATCAATGTTCCCCTGTCGGGAAATTTCATATGTAGCGTACAATAATTGCTAATATTCAGGCTGTCGAAAAACAAGTTAATCAAAATTCAACACGCCAATATGTGTTCAATACTGAATAGACGACCGTAGTTTTGAATTATCATGAAACCCAGACTTCTAACTAAATAATGTCAAATTGCAGTTATATTTAAAGCAAAATGAGCAAATGCTAGCACGTTGAAATGCTTTGGTGGAAATAACCTTTTTTACCTATAAATTTATGTTATACAACTCCATTAAAAAAAAATTGTTTTGCATCTTCGACACTTACAACTTATTATTTATGCGTACTTCATGAATTTTGCAATACGCATGTTTATGCCAATTTTTGTTATTATGTAAAAGTTAGGACGGATTTTTAAACAGTTACAAATAATGGTGGATAAACAAGGCAAACATTTTTCTGCCTTGTCATACAATCATGCAAACCATTTAGGCAAATGTGTAAAACATTTAGTTACCATTTAAATTTGTTTTAAGGATGCTGAATAAATTTGAGTTTGTTAGCATATCATTTGAATGAACTTATTATTTAATTTCCTATTGTCCATTCTGACGCGGAGGTGAAACAATGCGATTTCGACTTAACGTTTTAAACTCTCTTACATTTGTTTATTGCTTTTCCATATTCTACGAAAAACATCGCATTCTGAAACTAAAGAAATGGTTTACAACATATTGAAATATTGTTTTTGTTTATTCAGTATTTTATGCACACCAACGCCTAAAGTTGAATTACCTTTCTTTAAGACACTCTGATATGTACATTTAGCATAGAAGGAAATGTGTAGTTTTGCTTGGCCATTCTCTGTATGTAGTTTTATTCCCTTTAATACAACAGATAAAATTATACTTTTGGTTGGGTTGGGCAGGACATATGTCCAATGTTAACCTGGCTTTGGTAAGGCTAGAATTTAGTTCAGGTAAAGAAAAATTAGCGCATTAGCAACAAATTTCTATAGTTTATTTCGTCACCTGACTCCAACTGATCGAGCCAAAATAGGCTAGAACTGACATTACACCAGATTTCAACTTATGAAGTAACTAATGACAGTTAGCAAGTAAAAGTTTCCTCTTAACTAGTTATTGACGTATGAAACACCTTGACTTTGACCGGGAGATTGTCAAACTATGATTATAAAGACATTAACTAGTGTTTCATATGAAAAAAGCACACACTTTTGCCAACGCCTCACAAAAGATCACAAATTCGTGGTGGACAGACGCGTAACTAGAACGTTACTTGAGGGGTGGGGGTGGAGTGTTACCTTTTTCTTGAGAGAGAGAAAACAAAAACAAGCAGAAAGCTGAATTGTGATGATATTAAACTCCCATATTGCTGCATTAAGCTTAGATGGGTGATAAATTTCGAAAAATAAATATTTTTACTCACATGTGACTAATCAAAGACATCTACAATGCAGTTCAGACAAAACCACTTGGTGTACGTACTTGGCATCGGTTCCTAAGTACACTTAACTGGAGGGTTTACTATACTTCACATTTCCCAAGTGATACTCAAGTTTTCACAATCTATTTTCCACCCTCCTTATTGTTAGTTAATAATTTAATTAGTAACTTACACAAAGAAACTCCTTCCTGATTTTGCTATCAGTGCATTGGATGATTTCTTTAATATAAAATATTGTAAATCAATGAAAACACATTGGCCAAGTTTGATTTGCATGTCAAGATAACTTTGTTCACTAGGAGCCTTATCGGGTAAAACGAAGAAATTTTTCGCCATAAATAAAACTGATACTATGCGAAAGATGATTTATAACATCCCCTGTTTAATGAAATTTCTGTCACATCTCTAAAATTTACATTTTAAAAACTTGAATCAGCAGGATATCCCTACTTCAAATAATAAAGATCATTTGTAGCGTCTGAATAAACAAAACTCTTAGTCTGCAGTAATCTAGACTAGATCAATGTTTCCCCTGTCGGGAAATTTCATATGTAGCATACAATAATTGCTAATATTCAGGCTGTCGAAAAACAAGTTAATCAAAATTCAACACGCCAATGTGTGTACAATACTGAATAAACGACCGTAGTTTTGAATTATTATGAAACCCCAGACTTCTAACTATAGAATGTCAAATTGTAGTTGCATTTAAAGCAAAATGAGTAAATGCTAGCACGTTGAAATGCTTTGGTGGAAATCACCTTTTTACCTATTAGATTTGTGTTATATACCTCTATTGAAAAGAAAAGTTGCTTTGCACCTTCCGCACTTACATCTTATTATTTATGCGTACTTCATGAATTTCGCAATATGCATGTTTATGCCAATTTTGTTATTAGGTAAAAGTTAGGACGGATTTTTAAACGATATGTTACAAATAATGGTGGTTAAACAAGGCAAACATTTTTCTGCATTGTCATACAATTATACAAATCCTTTAAGCAAATGTATAAAACTTTTAGTCATTCATTTAAATTTGTTTTAAGGAATGCTGAATAAATTTGACTTTGTTAGCATATCATTTGAATGAACTCATTATTTAATTTCCTATTGTCCATTCTGACGCGGAGGTGAAACAATGCGATTTCGACTTAACGTTTTAAACTCTCTTACATTTGCTTATTGCTTTTCCATATTCTACGAAAAACATCGCATTCTGAAACGAAAGCACTGGTTTACAACATATTGGAATATTGCTTTTGTTTATTCAGTATTTTATGCACACCAACGCCTAAAGTTGAATTACCTTTCTTTAAGAAACTCTGATATGTACATTTAGCATAGAAGGAAATGTGTAGTTTTGCTTGGCCATTCTCTGTATGTAGTTTTATTCCCTTTATTACAACAGATAAAATTATACTTTTAGTTGGGTTGGGCAGTACATATGTCCAATGTTAACCTGGCTTTGGTAAGGCTAGAATTTAGTTCTGGCAATGAAAAATTAGCATCCTTTCCAACCAAGCCAAGCTACCATTTCAACTTATGACGTAAATAATGACAGTTAGCAACTGGAAGTTTCTTCCTAACTAGTTATTGACATATGAAACAACTTGACTTTGACTGAGAGATTGTTAAACTATGATTATAAAGACATTAATTAGTGAGTCATATGAAAAAAAAACAAGACAGTTTCACCAATGCCTCACAAAAGGTCACAAATTCGTGATGGACAGAGGCGTAACTAGAACGTTTACTGTTGGGAGATTGCGTCTTTATATATTCCGTCGTGCCATTCTAATTCTTCTAAAAGTGATTTGAATTTTAAAAAAAGTCAGTAGGGCACAAGTTAATATATGAATATACATCCCACCGCCCAATTAACGTTCTAGTGACTTCCCAAAATTTTGCAATGTCAAACGGAATGAGGTTTCCAGCATATAAATGCAGGAACAAATTGCATATTTACGTAACGTAATTCAAATGCGAATTTAGAAGTGTTACCATTTTCTTGGGATAGAAAAGAACAAAACTAACAGAAAGCTGAATTGTGATGATTTACATTCCCATATTACCGCATCAAGTGTAGATATTGTATATAAATTTTTACTCGCATGTGACTAATCAAAGACATCTACATTGCATTTCCGACAAAACTCCTTCGTGTACGTACTTGGCATCGGTTCCTAAATACACCTTACTGGAGAGTTTACTATACTTCACATTTCCGAAGTGATACTCAAATATTTACAGTCTATTTTCCGCCCTCCTTATTGTCTAGGGAATAAATTAATTAGTAACTTACACAAAGAAACTCCTTCCTGATTTTGCTGTCAGTGCATTAGATCATTTCTTTAATATAAAATATTGTAAATCAGTGAAAACACATTGGCCACGTTTGATTAGCATGTTAAGTTAACTTTGTTGACAAGGAGCCTTATCGCGTAAAGCGAATAAAATTTTTACCCGCGTCTTTTTAAAAGGTTTTGAATTCTGTCAACCATCATTATGAAATTGAAGCTTTAAAAGAATTAAACTACCAGATAAAATCATAATACTAAAACTAGCGGTTCTATAGTACATAATTATAAAACGATATGAAAGCTGAAAACTTATCTTTTAAATACTTGAAATTATTTATTACTAAAAACAATTCAATAATACACACGAAGATAACGACCGCTTCTTGATGAAATTTTAATTTGGGTGAAAAGCCATACAAAATGAAAAAGAGATTATGGACAAGAAATTAAGACTTCAAACTTTATACTATGCAAATATGTGGAAATACATCCGCGCCGATAAACACACTTATAGTGAAATGTTAATCGAATTCAGATAAATGTTTTTCTGTATCAAATACTAAATTGGAAGAAGTAAAATCTAAAATCTAAATGTTATAAACATTTTAGTAGTTAAGACCATTTTTACACATTAGTGAAAACTAAAATAATAATTGTGTGTTGACACTTTAAGAAGAGAGTGATATATCATTTAGTGTCAAGAGAATAAAGAGCGTATTTTTTTAATATTTAGGCTTAGCACTGTTGGTTTGCGACAACAGCTGAGTATATGGAAAACTAATATCGTAGATTTTCAACAAATTTGACCGCTAAATCTTGCAGTCTAAACTTGTAACAACTAACAACAGGTGCAGATACAATATAAGGGAATTTAATTGTAGCCGTCTTACTTTTAGTTTAGATTGTTTTAACCGTTTCTTTCTCAGGTTGCCGTATGACACTATTTGGAAACCATGCTAACGAAATTTTCCAAAAAATCGAAAGTAAAGGGATAAAGTAGCTAATTTTCAATGAAGAAACTTTGCCAATTATAGTAAAGTTTTTGTGATTCATTTTCTCAAACAGCACAAGATTAAAGAAGAATGGTTAGTGACATTCTGATGGAGTTATTTGTGATTAAATTATTATGC